TTAGTATAAGAAGAAATGAACAAATAATTAAATAATTCATTGATAACACTTATTTTGTGGTAAATTATATGTTGGATAAATTTGTAGAAAACAATTATTGAAAAAAAATTATGCAAAAAAACGTATTAATTTTTTTTATTTGATATTGAAAAGGACACTTCCTAATTCCATAAGAAAACAAAATTTTTATTTCAATTTTAATTATTTCAATCAGATAGTTAATATATAGATCTATTATTTATTATAAATTCAAAATGTACCCATAAACACGGTTTTAATGAACTTAACTTTAACACAATAGCATCAAAACACAAGTTTAACAAACTCAAACTTAACAAACCTATTTTCCGTCCAATCAAACATAAGTTTAACTAATTTAGACTTAACAAACCTATTTTCAGTACAACCAAATATAGATTTAATAAACCCAAGACTTAACAACTTATAATTGATAAACTCGGGTTTTGCAAACCTGCTCAAACCTACGAACCAAACATCCCCTAAAGTCTTTAACAAAAAAAAAATGTCTAGGCTGATGTGACAAATTCGAGTTACAATAACATGGCTTTAGATTCATCGAGTAATGTGATCAAATGAATAAACATAGTGGTGTTCTTTCATCCAATTGCATTACATTGAGATCATTTCTTCGAATAACACTATGATAGAGTTTAAGATCGCGGTATATATCTTCTGATTGTATTACGTAATGACCATTTGGGGTAACACGAATGCATTATGAGCACTACAATCTTGATTTCGAGTCTAAACATGATATGGTCTAATATCACAATATCCATCATCATTTTGCGTTACGCGGATGAACACCACCGTACGAAATCCTATTGTGATAATAGCTGCCTAATAACTCCATCTATCTATAGGCATTCAAACAACTTATTTCCACAATTGAAGACTCAGGTCCGTTTGATAATGTTTATGTTTCTTATTTATGTTTCATTATTTTTAATAAATAAAAATGAATTTCATGGCTTCAACATCCATAAATTCAAGTTAGTATGATCGAACAATATTTTTATTTATGTTTTAGAACAAATGGGAAATGAAAACAAGAAAAAACAAACTTGTTTTGGTTGTTTCCAAAATTTCTATACAATTTTGACAAGGTTCACAAAAAATGAGAAACAAAAAACATAGTTAGTTGCAAAATGCTTAGATTTTTTAAGAATATTGGAAATAGTAAACAAGCAATAGAAACGTTATCAAACAAATCTTCAACCCCTCAATTACAAAAGTGACACTTTTTCTATCTCTAATTCAAAATTTTGAAACTAAAATTGCAATGAAGTAAAGGAAGCGTTAATGATGACAGCCACAATAAGTCTTCATTAACCCATCCACGCATAGTGTAGCTTAGGTTGTAGTAGTTTGACATTTAAACTTTATAAATGAAGTTTGAGCTGACTCTTGACTTTATTAAAGGAAATTTTAGTTAACATTAAATGAAGTTGAAATTGATTTAAGCAACTTTGCTTTGAAAATCTTCTTGTCTCAAATTGAATAGAAAAGCTTCATCTCTATCTCCTTTAATTGGTATTGGCATCATATTTGGATAGCACGAGGATGTTTTGAAGCAACGATGGAGATTGGAACTGGATAGAGTAGGATCACAGCTAAAATGAATTGAGTAGAAGTGGAGGGAAAAGAAGAAGAAAATGATAGAGTAATTTTATGAGAAAAACCCCTAGACGAATTAGGGTAAAAACCACAAGCAAGGAAGAAGAATTCCACCCAATAAAGTAGAAATTACAAACTTTCTTTCTTATGTACCTCACACACACACTTTAGCTTAGTTGGAATTAGGAATTTTTTGGGATGGGTTGCCAAGTATGGATGTCCACCTATTTGTATCCCAACCATACTTGGTCATTAAACAAATTTCTATGGCTACAAAATATGTCACATATTAGCCTTAGATAAGATGATGATCTAGTGGCCACAAATTTGCCATATTACATTCTAATAGTTTCGAGTTACTTCAACTATCCAAGAAAAAAGCCTTTGGAGGAAGATTTGATAAACCTAGTAGCTTCTAGAGGCTTCATGAACAATCTTTTTCATATCAAAAGTGATGCAAGTCTTACCTTCTATTAGCCTCCCTTTGAATACTAATTAAGAAAATATTATCATGTGTGTTTTAATGAATTACACACAGAGGTTTTGTACAAAATTTATAGGAGTTCGAAGAAAAATGACTCGAGAACTAGATTTTATTGAACTTGTTTTAAGGGATTTATTCAATGGCCAATCTCAATCAATGATTTGCTAGGGTTTGGTTGCCAAGAAAACTTCAAGGATGTGCACGTTAGCAACTCCTCCCATATTAAGACTTGATTTTCGTTCACATTAGTGGGCGGTGAGTATAAAAAATTGTAATAGAAGGTAAAAACTACTACATATATCATTGTAGAGTTCGATAACTCTATGAAATTGAAAGTTTTGAATAAAAATTTACTCAAAGTGGTTTAGTATAATTTAAAGGTAAAAATTGTGTCGAGACAACCTATAATTATATGATATTGTCTACTTTGGACATAAGCTCTTTTGGATTTCCCTTTTATTTCAAACAAAAGACGGAATACATACCAATAGAGTTGTTGTCTCTTACTTGTATTGTTATATGTACCTATGATCTTCCCTTTACTTAGTCAATGTCGCTGTCGGGCTTCGGTCGCATTTCATTCCAACAATCCTTCCCTCAAATATTTATTCATCCCGTTCGTCCTTATCCAACTCAACTCTTCTTTGGAGTGCATCCCCTATCTAGTAGACTATTCAGCATCCGAGGATTCTACACCAACACGACTATGTTAGGGGCATGACTATAATACCACTTATTAGAGACAAGTGAACAATGGTATGATATTGTTAACTTTGGACATAAACTCTTATGGCTTTATTTTTTGTTTCATTCATGATTTATATCAATGGATATGTTGTCCTTCACTTATATACCATAGATTTTTCTCTTCCCTACCTAATTTGAGATTTGTTCGCATTCCCAATAAATACCCATTACTTGTTTTCAAGCTCGATAATATATTGCTTTCGATCCAACATTTTATAAGGGTGTGTTTGGAAGTGACCGTAAAATGAATGATTTTGGAAAAAGAGATTTAGTTGCAATTGATTTTTATATAATCATTTTAATGTTTGGTTTCACGCCCTTAAAATTGATTTTCATATAATTAAAAGTACCGTACTTTTAAATTATTAATATTTGGTTTCTAAAATGATATTTAAATTATTAAATTACAAAAATATTATATTTAATAATAAAATCAAATAAATAAATTATTTTTATAATTGATATAATATCATTACAATTAATTTATTACTAATATCTATTTTTAATTTTTTTTTCACTCTCCAATCTTCACCGTCATTTTCCCTTCCACTAAAAATTTCGTAAAAGTGACCATCCATATCCTAGGATGGTTGTGCCCGAGATGGCTGTCTTGACATGGTCGACTTGGGCCGGTCAGCTAGGGCCTTCAGGCTAAGAATGGTCGTCCTAGTGTGGTTAGACCTATGCTGGTCGGGCCTTAGATGGTCGTTCTGGAGTGGTCGTGCATGTACTGTGGACCCAAGGTGGTCGACCTGAGTAGGTTGCCATGGGTGGTTTATCAACGTTGATCTACTCAGGCTGGTCGAGCCGAGTTGGTTGGTCAAGTGGTTGACAAGGGTTGATCTACTCGGGTTGTTCAACCCGAGATGATTGACTAGGTTGGTCAACCTAGAGTGGTCGAGCCTATAATGTTCGTCTTGAGATGGTCAGGCCTAAGCTAGTTGGTCATGCACTAGCTAGCACAAAATCGTCGTCTTAAATGGGGCGGGTCCCAATATTTATAGGTTTAGACCTACAGATTCCATCTACCTGTTGGTTAGAATCGTTTTGCGATTCGCAACGTGTTGTCGAAAAAGTGATTCACGAACAGTTAGGTGCAATCTCGTGTACTACTTTCGGCTAGGTCAATTGTGGTGCTCCATATGGGTCGACTCGATCTTACAAAGGCATGCCTTCGTAAAATGAGGCTAGCACTACAAGAAAATGAACAGTTAGGTACTCATTTTCTTGTAGCTACACGCACAACCATATGGTTATTTCATTCTCTCGCAAGGTGGCCAAGGTATTTCATTGTCTTCCCTAGTTTGTTGACATGTGGCAGTCATTTAACTGCCCGAACACTGTCCAACCAATCTCTTTAACTTTAAAAAGTGTCTATAAATTTAGAATTTATTAGACATAATATCGAATGTTCATTGACCTATTAAATATAAAATAAAAAATTTAAAAATCTATTAACTATATTTTAAAATTGAGGAATCTACTGTAGACATTATAAATTTAGAAACTTTCTAAATATTTTTTTAAAGTTCAGAGTACCTCTTATTAGACGATTTGATTGTACATAAAACTAATTTTAGTCTTATTATTAATTTTTAAAATAATTTATTTAACAAGAAAAAAGCTGACATAAAATACACCTTTTTATGGTCAACAAGTGCTTCAAACCATGCTCATACTTCAAGACTTCCAAATATATATTTACGAATTTAAAAATAATTTAAGAATAAAACATTATTATAAAAACTAAATAGATAAATGTCTGGTTAAATCATATTTTTTTAGTACAATTCATCTCCTTTCATTGCGAAATCTCAACTATCGATGATGAATCGATGTGTGTAATAGATATCCATGAGATTGCACAAGATTTTTCTACCATCTCATTGTATCATCTTTCTTGGTACGTTGACATTCCAATTCTCTCTCACGTGAATGTTGAATTTAATCAACGGAGAAGTCCCTCGATTTATAGCCCATGTGACTTTTATCACTTATATCTAATAAATTTACTTTTTCCTCAAAAAAAACATTTTTTCTTTAACTTAGAAAAATGTCTATTTCTATCCAAGGTTGGGTGTAGTTTTAATAATTTGTACAAAAAGGACTCAATCAATGAACCAAACCCAACTTAAACGTCAATGATAGGCTTTTACCTCTTCCCAAAAGATCCCAAGCTTCAAACAATTATAATTGCAAATAAAAACATACAAGATATGGGCTTTATTCTTTAATAAAGGGAAACAAGAACAAAGTTTTAAGTCGATTCATAGCTTAATTTTAATCAGAAGACATAAAATCTAGATCATGGTCAAATGTTGGTGCATCATTTTCTAACAAGACCAACTTCTTCCACCAAAACTCTCTCCATGTCTGGCCATGGCTTGCACATTGCTTCCAATGGAAAAGCTCTAGATGCAGTGATTCCATTGCCCACAGTCATGTCAACCAATTCATCAGAGACTCTCTTCCATTCAAAGCATTGAATCATCGTCGCCAAAGCCAAGCCGACCAAACGATTGGCCATGCCCCCACCGGGGCATGCTCGTCTCCCCAACCCAAATGGAAGGTACTTGTATTGATCTTCAATTGTTAGAGTTGCATGTCTTTCGGGCTTGAAGATGAGTGCATCGTCCCATAGTTTCGGGTCTCGATGGATTGCCCAAACGTTGAACAACAACATCGTGTCGCGTGGGATGTGGTAGCCTTGTATCGTGCAGTCTTCAGACGCACAATGCGGTAGAAGGAGCGGAAGAGGGTTCAATCGCAATGTCTCGGCGATTACTTGTTGCAAGTAAGTCATTTTTGACAAGTCGTTTTCTTCTACCAATCGCTCTCGCCCAACTACTGTATCTATCTCAGCTCTAGCTTTCTTTAACACTTCTGGATTGTTGAGCAAATGAGACATCGTCCATGTCAGAGTTCCAGATTGTGTGTCAGTCCCAGCTAGCATTATGACCTACAGGAATTAGAAACATTATATGGACTAAAATTTTGTATGCGAATGGTTTTAAATGTATTCTAGTACAATTAAGAAAAAAAAAAGTATGACTATACCGTAAAACTCTATTTTTTTCTTGTGATTGGAACTTGAAACATTAAGTGAATGTTTATTTTTTCTTTATTGGAATTATAATTTCTTTTTCTATATATCAAAAAATAATGCATACATATATACAAATTTGAGAAATAATTCTATTTAATACCTAAACTATAAAATCATATAATTTAAGAAGTAAAGAGAACTATTTTTCTAAATCTACGACGTTGGCCCGGTCGGTTTAGACCGTTCAGACGGCTCGGATTAAAGAATCAAAACAGACTCCAATTATTCACGTGATTCACGTGTTCACTCACCAAGAAAGAAACAAAAATAAACTAGAGCTCGATTGAGAATAAAAAAATGCAAAATTCTGTGGAGCCGCTGTTCTGAAAACTGGATGCTCTATTATTATTTCTTTTTTAATAATTAATTCCATCATTCTCAAATTCTGGTTTTCAGCTCTCCAAGATAAGAAATAGCTCTTAATGGCTTGTTGACCACAATTAATTATAGAGACTAGAAGATAATGAGTAGCATCTAATCATCTATTAAATGTATCATAAATCAATCAATAAATTAAAAACATTTATTAGATTCTTACGGGTCAAACACCCCTTTTTTACCGACTAAGAAAAAATACTTAATTGATAACGTTAAATATTCATGAAATTTCATCTCGAATCAAGTTTTTGGACCACACGTTCGCTTGAGCATTTGTAACTTAATATCGTATTAATATTCATAGAATTCTATTTCAAAATTAATTTGTAATAAAAAAATAATTAATGTCTATTATAAATCTTTGTTAGATTCTTTATCTTCTCAATATAGAATCCAACGGTCGCTACAAAGAAAATACTTCGCTCCTCACGAGCAAGAAACAATTTTGTTCTTACCATCATTAAATATTTAATAACTTTTTATTATTTAAAAAATCGTTAGGTTTTTTTCAATTCTCTCTCTTAATTGTCAAATATTTAATAGTGTCAAGTACAAAGTTACTCTTACTAGTGAGTAGCCAAATATTTTCTTTCCTTGGCATGAAATGAGTGCTCATGATAAATCAAAAAATTCGACTCCTTAAAATTAAGGAAATATTTGACAAAATCACACAGGGGCTGTAGTGAAACTGTTTGCTTCAGAATTGTGTATTTTGTGTTCGGTTGCCCGACTCAAAAATTAGCTCCATCATTCTCAAATTCTTGTTTTCAGCACTCCAAGAAAGTTATTCCCCAAGAAGTAAAAAGACAATGTAATTTGTAAAAATATTGCAATCAAAATTCCACCTGACTTACCTAGAAAAGGGAGTGACATATGGTCCATAAGAAGAACAAAAATATAAGAGCTACCACTATATCCTTAACAAGATAAGAAAAATCCCTTAGACTTTTCCACCATAACTAATTATAGTAGCTCCAAGGTAACGAGTGGCATCTACTAATCTATTAAATGTATACTAATCTATTAAATGTATCATCAATAAATCAATAAATTAACAACATTTATTACGATTTGCTACTAAAATAGTGGTCAGCAAAAAACGAGCGTTAACCAAAGAATGAAAGATAGAAAGATCATTTGCAAGTTATTGAATAAGAATTAAATTAAAGAGAGGGATTAAAACGTACCCAAATGAGGCCTTTGATAATCTGGTCACTGAAGAACTGAGGCTCAGAGACCTGCATGGAGAGCAAATGATCAACCATGGTGTTGCCCTCCCCCTTCCGGTTCCGAATCTCCTCAATCAAATTAACAAGAAAAATGTCAACTTTCTTGGCAATGTTCTTGAGCTTCTTCTCGTACCCAGTGGGGTCGATCCAGTTCCAAATGGGTATGAAATCTCCGGGGCTGGACGCCTCGCTGATCATAAAAATCTCCTTCATAATATACCTGAATTGCTTCGCCTCCTCCTCGTTCGACACATTCTCCCCAAAATAGCTCTTCCCCGCCACCATCCGCATCACCACGTTGAACGTCAGCTCCGCAAACAGCGGCTCCAGCTTCACCGTCGAGAATCCCGCCGACGCCGGAGGAGGGCTGTTGTTACTCTCCCCCAGCCGCCGGAGCAGGCGCTTCACCTCGTCGCCGCGGGAGTCGAGGAACTTGTTGAGGCGGGTCGGGGAGTAGATCTCGATGGACCCGATGCGGCGGAGGTTGCGCCAGTGCTCGCCGTACGACGCGGCGGCGAAGATGGTGTTGTCGTAGGCCATGTACTTTCCGGAGTTGAGGAGCGGCCGGGCGGCCAGCACGACGTCGTTCTTCGTGAAGCATTCCTTCACGGCCTCCGGCGAGGTGATGATGACCACGAGCCGCGACCCGAACCGGAGGGAGAAGACCGGGCCGTACTTGTCGGCGAGTTTCTTGAAGGCGTGTTGGGCCGGCCGGCCCAGGAGGTGGAGGTGGCCGATGATCGGTAGCCGGAAGGCGGGGCTCGGCGGCAGCTTCCGGCCAGATGGAGATCTCAGAAGAAATCTCACGACAAGAATTGAGAGAAGAGAGAGTGAGAAATACAGCAAAATATTCTCCATTTTTTATGGATTGCTGAATTCAATCCTCCACCATAGGCATAAATCATATATACATATATATATAGAAATGAAATTATTAATTTAATAAATTGTGGTTCACAAGCCAAAATAAAATAACAAAATTGTGGTTCACGTTAATTAAGCCCGCCAAAAATGTTTAGTAAATTCTTGATGCATTTTGAATCTGTTTTTTATCTACCCGGAATTGGAATGATATTAATATTAGTAAAATTACTAATACATTATTGTATTGAGCATTTTGTAATTTGAAGTAATCAAGGACTTTTAATTTCATGTTTGATAAGTTTTGACATATTTAAATATTTTTAAAATTAACGAATTTAAATTTTTCCTTAAAGATCTATGAATCTATTAAACTCAAAATTGAAAGTTTGTCATTATATTAGATGCTATATTCAAATTTATGTATAAGATTGAAACTTCAAATACTCTAATAGATGCAAAAGAGAAAATTTAAGGACTAATTAGATATTTTAAAAAATTTATGAACTTATAATTTTTAAAGTTTGAGACTTATTTTATTAAACCGAAATTTGAATATTTGGAATAGATTTATAATTTTATTTTTCACATTGGTTAGATTATATATTCAGTTTGCAAAATCTGATGGTTGCGTTACTTTAATATTTAGATTTAGATGGATTAAGTTGAGGAATTTAACTCAAAAAGAAAAAAAGGAAAAAGAAGAAGAAGGTATGAATCACGTGGTATCCTTTGAGTAAAAAGAATAATAAGGTATGAATCACGTGGTGAGGATAGTTGGTTGATGTGCTGGCTCATAAAAACATCATAGATTTGCGATGATTTTTTAAGTTGTGAAAAGTGGTTTTAATCAATTATATGTCAAAGATCTTACGTGAAATTATAAAGAGACGTAAAAAATGTTTATAATAGATATGGACTACTTTCATTGTCAATTGGTTTTGAGATAAAACCTATGAATATTGACATGATATCAGAATCCAAAAGTTCAAACTATTAAAGATCTCACGTTGAAAAGATAAATGGACCTCAAAATTAGTGTTGAGATGGAACCAAACTCCGAACCATCTTAAAAAGTTTATTAATAAACTTTGTTGTTAAAATTAAATTAGGTCAAATTATAAAATTTGCTCATTCTATTTATTTAATTCTTAAAATTTCACAGAGTTTCGACTGCATCCTTAAACTTTAAATTGTATTTTTTTTTCACCATCGTTGTTAACACGATTAACATTATGTCTACACAAGATGTCTGTTGATGCAAAATTCTGTTGAGCTATCGAAGTTGGTCACGTGGCAACGGAGCGAGTTAATGAGATGCTACCTTAAATAAGAAGGACCTGTAGAAAGGAACAAATACTCCAACGCTCAAGTCGGTATCGTGCAAGTTAAGGTAAGTCGTTCTCGGAGTAGAATTGCATACATGGATTGAGTGGTGGATTGTCCCCTTTTATAGGCAGTTGGAGGGGGGGGAGACAAGGTCGTTAGAACAGCTCCAATTGACGATTACAGTCTTCAACTCAGTTCCGAGGGTAGGTCGGTCTTCTCCATAACTTAATTGTACGGATCTGACAATACCAAGCTAACTTAATTAGTTCATGTATCATGTATTTTTCCCTTGAGCAATATTCATTTGAAAATTTTTGATTGAATTGGTATGATGTAACAAATCATATAAGAATCAGTGCATATCATTAAAATCAATTCAAAATAACGTTTTGACAAAATATTTGTTTTGTTTTGTTTTTTTTTTTTAGAATTTTAGAAAATTTTGCTTCTTGACTATCGAATTTATTTTCTATACTTTTGTCATTAAGAAAAAGGAAAAGACTACTTTAGTCCATAGAAGAACTGATGAATTCCTTTAGCAGAAGGGTCAGCTTCGTCAATTGAAACTCTTTCGTCTGTTTCTCAAACTCCCACAAAATGAAAAAGACAATACTCCCGGCGGGAAGCCTCCACCACCGGGGACTAGATTGTCATCTTCTTAAAAATTAAAATAATGATATTGTACAATTTTACTTTAAAATACAGTGGGGCTAAATTTGTAATTTAATACCAACATGGTCAAATTCTCTATGATATGGGACTAAAATAAAATATATTGTTGAGTTACAAGTTTGATTTCGCAATCTTTAATAAATTTCTAAAATTTAAGAAGTAATTAATATATTTTTTAATTAATAGGTTTTTAAGTTCTTGACATCGTGTCTAATAAGTTTTTGAACTTTAAAAATTGTCTGTTGGGTCTCCAAACTTATAATTTTGTATTTAATAGATCCTTAAACTTTTAATTTTGTATATTATATACATCCCTAGCGTAGGAGGTTTCTTTAAGAAATTCAGGTTGTGTTTGGTTGGTGACATTTGGATTCAATGAAAGATAGAGTTGCATGGTTTAAATATTTTCAAATAAGTGTTTGGTAATAGATTTGGAAATTAAATCCCAATTTAAAATTGTCCATAGTGTATTTATAAACTAATGATAGTTGCACCTAAATATTTAGTCCTATCTAAAATAATATTTGTTATGGGTAGCGTCCGAACAAGACACATGTTCATCCCTCCTCAAGCGCGGGTCCACTGAGAAACCTTCTAAGAGAGGATGTTGTTGGGTTTTTAAGGAGTACAAACAAAGTCTCACATTGATTAGGAAAGTGAATGATCATAGGTATATAAGAGAGAACGATTATCCTTATTGGTGTGAGATTTTTTGAGTAGAACCAAAAGCAAAACCGTTATTAGATGGGACACAGCACTAACGTCGAGTACGAGATTCTACCTGACACGTGTTTTTTACCAGCTTAATAATAAGTTACAATAATCGGTAGCAAATGTGTTTTTCATCTGTAACCGTCGGACACAACGTAAAATATTCACTGTTTTTATTATTATTATTAATTCATTTTTGCAGAATATTCTGTTCTGTTTTCAGATTTCTCAAAAAAAAAAAAAAAAAAAAAAAAACGCGCTCTGTTTTCATTATAAGTCGCGCCAGAAAGGTTATTATAAGTCTGGTTCTCTGTCGTTGACGTGAAACACGTGAAACATGATGATAGCTTAAATTACTAATTTACCCTCCGTTTCTCAAGATGTTTTAGGAATTTTAGATCCATGGATTTCAAATAAAATTTCACGAGATTTTAAAATTAAAATTACGAAATTAACCTCATCCAATATCATTTTTTCTTTCTTTTTTTTTCAAACAAAATAAAGGAAAAAAAAAAGATAAACTCCTTTCATTTATAATTATTTGACATATTATGGAGTGATTTATTATTTATTTCATGACTTTGCATTATTCTTAATTTATATGTACGGTGTCAAACAATTATATTAATTATTAATATTCATGTGGTTTCATTTTATAATCAATTGTCTACGAGAAGAGTAGTCCCCTTATATTACAAACTTGCTAGGTCCCTTATCTTTTTAACATGAGATCATTAACATGCTCTTTAAAATAGTGTCTCTTTTTTATTCACCAATATTGGCCAGATCCCATTTCATTCTTGATCGAATACTAGTTTGAGTTTTTTGGACTCTGATGTCATATTAATATTAATAGGGTTCTATCTCATAGTCAATTGAGTATGAGAGAAGTATAACCCACTTATATTATAAACTCTTGTTAAGTCTTCTTGTCTTTTTAATGTGTGATCGTTAACAGTAATTAGTACGAAAAAATTTCTTGTACTATTAAAGCTCGTTTGGTAACGTTCCTATTTGTTGTTTTTTGTTTCCAACTTTCTTAAGAAATCTAGGTACTTTGCGACTAACTATGTTTATTATTGTTTCTCATCATTTTAGGAATATTCTCAAAATTGTATAGAAATTTTGAAAATAATCCAAACAGATTTTTCTTTATTATTCTCATTTCCAATTTGTTTCAAAATATAAATAAAAAGATTGTTTTATCACACTTGAATCCATATATGTTGGGACATGCAATTCATTTTTCTTTATTAAAAACGAAAAACAACTTTTAGAAATTAGCTTTTAAGATCTTTCAAAGAAAAAATGAAAATTAACTGCCGACCCACCCACTTTGTCCATTTATAATTACAAGTTACAACTAGGGCCCAGGCATAAATAAACTTTTTTTTCCTCTTTGGATACAGTTGAATTAAATTAAATGTTTAATGTGAATTTAGATAAGTGTGATAATTGGTACTTTATCAAAACTAAATGTAAAAAGTTTATATGAATGAACTAACAAATCATATAAAATTTGACCTAACAAATACTTTCAAACTTATATTAAATTTAATCACAAAAATATACTCGAACCTAACCAAAAGTTTAGTGGATAAAAAACATTCAAACTTAGTAACAAAATGAAATCCGATTAATTAAAAGCATCCAATACAAAAAAAATTAGTATCTGCAAAAATATTCCCATCAAAATATACTGATGGCTGCAACTAAACACAAAATCTTCATTAAAAATAAAAACTTAACTATGAAAGTATTACCACTATTTATTTAACTAGAATTTAAATTGTAACACTTAATTCTATTTTAGTTTTAACGATAAAATTAGAAACTTGAGATTAAAACAAACTCATCCACCTAAAAAGGGTGAAGTTTCCCCTTTTTTTTCTTGTATGAGTTTTTGTCTTCAATTTTCTTTTGTTGTTAAGTTTAATTTTTTTTATTTTATTTTATTTAAGTTCACACACACACATAAAGTTCAATCAGGGTGGTTAACAGGTTAAGTGGGTATTTTTTAAATATGATTTTTCTTAGTACGTTTCATATTATATTTGAATTTGAGTTTATTTGAATTATGCTATTTGTATAAAATTTTAACTTTCAACTATGTTTAAAAATACATATTTGTTTTATATATTTAGATAAATATTTTATCTTTAATCTATGAAAACATTCTTCAAAATTCTAATTCTAATATATAATTAATTAGAGAAATTTTATAGGTAACTTAGGGCAATTTTCACTTGGTAGCACAAGTCCTCTTGGGTTACCATTCAATCCAAAAAGCTTAAGCTGATCAGCTGGGTAA